ATGACTTTACACATCACAGTGACGAATAAGGCGACCTGTGCGATTTCATCACACTGATCCAGTGGAAAATCATGGTGAATGTCTATTGACTATTCAGAACATGATCACAATGAAGATAATCAACTCTTACTGGTATCAAATTCGACTGCTGCATGTAAGTCCATTTCAGGAGGCTTTTGACTGTTGAACTGAGCTTCTAAGCCATCTATCTCCAACATAATTGCCATCTTCTGTGTGACCACAAGGTCTGCTTTTCATTTGACAGACTCCACAGCTGTGCGAAGCAATAGTAGCTTGCGACCAACATCATTGGAATTACCTGCAGGTAACAACCGAAAGCACTGCTGAATGCGGAACTCTATGTTATCGAGGACCATCAAGGCCTTCACAGTTGGCCGATGTATGTTCTTTTGGGAGATGTTGCCAGGAATAGTGACTCTGGGTTCACAGGCAACAAAATGATCTAGCAAAGTGAGTTGCTCAAGATCATCTGTGAGAGCCATAATAGATAATGGTGGAGTGGGGTTGGGGTGAGAAACAGGTGGTTTGTTGTTGATAAGAGCAAGTGCATTCAGCTGTGAGACTAACAAATCCATGATGGTGTTCATGCAGGGAGAGCCAGTGGCAGCATGTTCTGCTTGGGTATGTTTGGTGTGTTGTAAATGTGCAGCCATAAGACATTCTGCAATGAGTACCCCCTTAGGCATGCCATCCTCAGCATGATCACTGGTTTTGATGCATTCCTCACAGAAGCACCGTTTGAACAGTGAGCGAGACACAGGCATGAAGAGCGGGGTGAATAGCAATGACAGTATGTACTGTTGTTTCTATGAATTGATGGGAGTGAATTGGAGAGCAAGAAACAACTGCATAGGCAAGCTTTTGAGTCAGATGAACAACAACGATAAAAGAAACAACTCACAATTTCCAGTAATGAAATAACAAGACAGCAGTAAGCCTTGTATGAAAATATGATGTTCATTACAAGAACTACCAAACAAGGATATAACTCTGTTGTTAGGGAGAGCTGGTGGTGACCTGAGCTTGGTGTGGACTGATCGTTGGCAAAGAATGCCAGGCAGGAAGGGCTGCCATGGATGTCGAACCAGGAAGCAATGGATGTTGGCTTAGAATTAGGATGTTGGCAGTGGCGATGAATGGGCACAACTGTACATACAGTCATGCCCTGGAGAAGGTTGTGAAAGGTTGCTGCAATGAGACATCTGGTGATGATGAAAGTAGAGAACACCAGGCATGACCGTACATACAGTCATGCCCTGGAAGAAGGTGAGGAAGGGTCGTTGTTGACAAGGAGAATGGGAGGCTCAACAGTACAAACCATCAAACCTCCTAGAGTAATAGTTACTAAGTTCCATAGGACTTAGAACTTTGGTGACGAAAGTGCCCAACAATCACAAACACAGGACTTAAGAACTTTTGCGACGAAAGTGCCCAACAATTACAAACACAGGACTTAAGAACTTTGGTGATGAAAGTGCCCAACAATCACAAACACCCATATTAGGGAATTGTTACATAACATTGACTCCTCAACAGTACAGTTTGAACTTTGTACTGTCGACTCTCTCGAGCTACTTCATCACCCCCATCCTCAAAGCATGACAGTATGTACTGTTGTGCTCATCGAGTTCATCGTTCATCATTCCTATCTTCAGAGCACAACAATATGTACTGTCATATCTCCTATTCCATTACCACCACCTTGCCAACTCCATCCTTTTTTGTGGAATGATCAAGCCATCAACTCCAGGTCATCCACCTTCACTTACTGCGATCCTTTAGATCATGCTGGCCTGTTAGTCAGGTAAGCTCATTTGTTGACAGATCCAACCATTAATCAACCAACATGTCCAGCTGTCAACACACATCATCCACTCCACCATACATACAGTGGAGTGGGCAATGGCTAACTCACTCTCACAACGATCCAGCCAGCCATCAGCACGCGTCATCCCCTCCACTGTACATACAGTGGAGGGGGAATTAACTTATCTTCCATTTCCTGCAGTTCACTTACACTGTCTATTCAACATGCTACTATGCTACACCAACTTTCATCCATCGGAACGTCTCATCTGACACATTCAACCTTTCTACCTGACCTCCAGTAAGACCATCAAACCATCTGCCATTGTATAGGGCCTTGGGTAATCCAGTGACTGGGTTCTGTACAGTCGTCGAATTTCCTGATGCATGTATCCTCTTCATTGGTTTGGAACCCTGGGGCCCGAAAATTTCATCATCCAAGACTCTCTGATTATTGATGATATTCAGTTCTCACTCTATCCCATGACACCATGCCATGTTCTTGACCCAGAGCACACATTCAACGTCATTTTCAATATCACTTTCTTCTGAACTCATACCCCTGTCTCCCAGCATCTTGACTAGTTTTTGAAGCCACTGCCAAGCTGGTAGGTTGTCGTCCTCGCCATCTTTCTTCAGCTTAATAACTTGCTCCAGGACTTTTGCTCTGTGGAGATATTTCTATAGACACATTAGTATCCGAAGAGCCTTGAGATCATGCTGCAGACATACATTTCACCAACAAGTTGTTTGATGAACCAACTTCAGATTTTCACCTCTTTTTGCAATCAACCTCTCCTCCACTGCTTCTGCAATCTCCAAGCAGCCCTTTGCTGTAACCTTTGGTTGGGCTGCTCTCCAGACCATCCGCATCCGCTTGTAGTGATCTTCGAGTATCGCCTTATAATAGGCATCCAACCTCTGGAACGGCCACTCCTCTTCTACACTCCTCTTTTTCAATTCTTCAAGGAGAATATCGAGAATTTTCACATTCCAGGGGGTGTTAAATCCATGTTTGAGATCAAAGGCCAGATTCTGGGTGTTGGGGCCTGGGCCATCTTTGTACTTGTATGAGTACACATCTTCATGATCCGCTGGCTGGTGCACAATAAAATCTGCATCTTGAGATATACTGAAGGTATCTTTGAGGAGATGCTGGATTTCACCCTACTTCATGCTTAACATCAGCATATACGTCAAAAATTCAACTCTCACAAGAAGGAAGTCTCTTTCGTGGCTCAAATCTGCGGCCTTTTCTATCCTAATTTCATCATCCTGCTTCTTTTTCCTTCGAGGACTACGCTTTGTGGATGTCAAAATATCCTTATCAACAAGGATGCATCTGAGTGCCGCCTCTATGCCTTTGGAGATCGCATTTTCCATCGCAGACATAGGGTAGACATCATCAGGCTGAAATCACTGTGGCTCTTGCTCAATTGTTGATGATCGTTCTCGATGTGTTTCTATAGGCTTGTCAGCGTCCTGCTATGACATGAGTTTAAAACGAGTTCCAACTGCTTAGTACTTACCTCTACTACACATACCAGATGCATCTTGTGTGTTGTTCCACATGCCTTCCTGATCTTTTTGATCATCTTGAGGCACAGAGTCTTGAGCTGTGGTTTCTGGGGCATGTGGGGTGGCTGTTGAGCATTCCTTTGGGTGGGGTCTGTGCTGATTTCTGTGGCCACATGCTGTTGCCTACCATGTCTTGCAAAGTGCTGCTCCATGTTAGTGAGCTCGTTCTCTTTTTCTACCCTCATTTTTTCTATTTCTAGTTGTAGCCTTTGCTCCATTTCAGCAAAAATGGCTCTCTTGCATTCTCTAGCTGCTTGACATCATTAGCAATTCCTGTGCTCAGTTGTTCTGTCCCACCTCTTGATTTTTTCTTGTATCTAAATCTGCATTGTGTCATGCCAGTTCTTCAGCCAACTACTTGCCATCATTAGTAATTCCTTGGTCAGTCATTCTTTCTCACCTCTTGGTCTTTTTTTGCACTTATTTTTGCTTTGTGCCATGCTAGTTCTTCAGCAACATTATTCCTCAGCAGTGCTTGCTGCTGCTCTTGCCATGTGTGAATTTCCTATTAACTTGTAAGCATGCATCTGACTGAATGCATCTGTTGCACTTACTTGCTTTTCCTGCTCTTGCTCTCTCAGAGCCTTTTCCCATCACTCGTTGAAATCATGCATGTGGCGCTTATGCTCTTCTTCTGCAAGACGTTGTTGCTCCTCAATGTGGTCTTGAGCTTCTTGGCATATCTGCTGGTATGATCAGCAGTGTATTCCCAACGAGCTTCTCATGTGTACCACTTCAGTTTCCTCTATAATGTTGCTAATACATTCTTGTTGTTCATACACAGTCTGGCGAAGTACCTGCGAATAGTCGACTTCCTGAATGTGACGCTTCCCAGATATCTGGATGGGTATCATGAGTCATGGAAGCTGATTCGTACTATCTACATACCACTTCCTCTCTGGCCCTCTTTTCAAGTCACAGTACACTGGTGGGAGGCTGACTGAGAACATCCATGAAGTTGCCAGGACCCTTATCATTGTCTTCATCATCTTCATCGTCACCAAATAAATCTGCATCATGAGACGTTTGTATATCTTCTTGCTGAAACTCAGGATGCTGCATGTCGATGTCAATGTTATTGGCACTCATAGTGGGGGAATAATTCATCATCAGTTTGCAAACATCATTCCTGGGTCTTTTTAAGTTTTGTGCATGCATTTTTGTCTTGATTCTTTTAGATGTCTTGTTGTATGAATGAAAAACAGTTCCAACAGGTCCAGGCCCATCTCCATCACTTTCAATTATCTTTTGCTCTATTTGCTCTTACAATTACCTCACACAATTATCCTTGACAACTAGGATTATCATTGCAGTATTGTCATGCTTCGGTTTGGCTCCCCACTATATTTTTTTTGGCTCCCTGCTATTTTTTTTGTCAACTACATCTGAAACAATTATGGTTATTGTCTTTTGACTCAGCATGTGAAGTTATTAAAAGACAGATCGCTGCTATAGCCTGCTTCCATCACCCACTTTCATTGCCCACCTCTTAGATTATTGCTTGATCGAATTATAATCATCAGATGGTAAACACTCACACATTTATCCTTCCAACATCTGCTGTGAGTTATCACTTACTACCTCACACCCTTTATTTACCTTCAAATCAGACCCTGAAGCTTCACCTGTGGTGCAGGCTATATTCAGCATCATGGACCAGACCCTGTCAGGTCACTATGTTGATGTGTTGCTCTGGCTGCTCACGTGCTGCTCAGCATTTTCCTGTTCTGGAAAGCCTTCTCAAGGAGGCTGCAGTGCAACCTTATGTTCACAACTGTTTTGTGAATGTGTGTGAAGGGAGACACATCCATCAATTCTGCAACTTCTTCAAGTGACATCTTCATCTCCAAGCCAACATGCTTCTTAGTATGGGTGGTCATAAGTTCTGAGGCGATGCAGTTGTTATGAGGGTTGGAGTCAACTATCCTCTGTTGTGAACATGCGAGGCAGAGATAATGTGCTTGCTGATTTTTTAATTCACCAGTGAGTAAACTCAATGATCTATTGAGCCTACCATAACTATCTTTTCAGCTTTGCACAAAGCATAAGTAGTTGTCCAAGAGCTAGGCTCCCATGCAATCTTACTCTTGTGAAACCCTTGAGGACTTGTGCCAATTGTCGGTCAGCTGCAAGGTGTAGAGTAGTAGTATAATTTGCACTGTTACATACCAAATTTCTCAGCTGGACTGCAGATATACAAACAAGATCCGTTCTGATCTTGATTAAACATTTGAAAGCACTGGCTTGAACTGATACTGATGGGTTCTGGGTAGCTTCACAGCCAACTTGCATGATGTAGTTTCGCTCTTCCTGATGTGCATAAAACTCGCAGTTATTAATCTTTCTACACCTGTTATTTTTAAGCCAAGGATGCATGAAACATCTCTGTTGCTTGGGCATTTCTGGTATTCCATCCTGTCTGATATGTGAATGAACATGCTTGATTCTTGGAATGCCAGCTTAATATAGAACACATACAGCACGTAATAATGATGGAGACATATAATGCAGTTGGGGTATCACTTCCTGGCCTTGCTCTTGCTCTTGCCTACAGCCATTTCTCCCTCCTTTCGTCTTGCGTGTCCAGACATGTATTTCAGGCATGTCATGATCAAATTATTGACTGGCCACAAGTTGGTATAATTGTCAAGGTCTGGGAAGTTGTTGAGCACCTGATGAGATGATAAGTTTATTGACAATATCGAGACTCAGAGAAACTGTTCACCTTGCCATGCATGACTTCCAATAGCATGGGACTTTGGGCAGATGTGCATTTTGTCATGTCAAGGTGGTTGTCAATGAGACTATGCATAGACCTCTTAGGAATTTATCAGTTAATTTGCAATACCAAGGGTACAATGACAACTTGCAAACCTTGAATTTTGTGTATGACTTTGGATTCCAATCTAAAGCTTCACAAAGTGTGTAACCCCCATGCCCCAGATGCCCAGGTTCACCAGCAGGTTTAGGAATCTTTGAGTCTTCTGATAAACTCACGCTCGAAGTTGAGGAGTCGCTATCTGAGAAAGAATCCAAAGAGCCTGAGGAATCTGAGGGTGAAGGCATTCAAGAATGGGGGTGCATGGAATTGGAAGTGGCTTTCTTGGTGTATGGAGAGGAAGAGCAATCAGAATGCTTGTGCATCTGCACTGCAAGCTTGAATTCAGGGGCAGGTGTAGATGATGAAGCCTTTGCAGTGGGAATGATACTAGCTTTAGGAACTAGGATTTCATCAGCAACAAGTGTAGTCAGGTGACGATTGGCATTGCCAAACAGCTCTAGCTGGTCTGTGAGCATTGGGGGAAGAGGTGGTGGAGCCCCAGGCTCTGAGTCATAGAAAGGTGGAACAACTGTAGTACTGCGCATGATAGAGAAAGAACTGAGTAGCTACCTGGAACTTAAGGATGGTTCATGAGAAGTAAAGTATTCAACAGATTACCATATTGAGCGAAAACAATAAGGGGCTTCGAAAATGGTAACCAAGAATAGCACTTGTAAAGAATAAGAATAATAGGGCTGCATCAGCATATCTCAAGAGAAGAATAAGAAGAATAGCACTACACAAATGGCATCAATGATGAAGTTACCATGGAATCAAACAAATACAGAAACAAATATGGTAATGATACAAAAGTATTTGAAAACAAATGGGAAGTACAGATAAATACATTGTGAGCAGGCGACTACAGTGGATTATATCATAATGTCTTTCCTTGCATTGTTCAACAAGTCAGTGCAGCCACTGCGTTACAAGCTGCTTGCTCATTTAACTGCCTATAATGGCTCTATCCATGCACTTGCAATTTCTAACGATGGACACCTGCTTGCATGCAGTGGTAAGAAAGCAGAAACTTGGTCATAGACAGGGCTAACAAACAAACAGGTACTGAGGGAATCAAAATCTGGGATATCAAATCTTGGAAAGAACTCACATCTTCATCCAATCATCATGAATCAAGGGGAACAGTCAGTTGCGCAATCTGGGCCACAACTACGAAAACTGTGGCAGAAACCCTCTGTTATGGAACAGGCCTGGGTTATATTGTATGTTTATGACACAGTCTCACAGATGTAAGTGCCTAGGTTTGTTGTTCAACTGTCCATTGACATCAACAGGAAAAATTCCAAGAAATATGTACCAGGAGACTGGGATCAGGATTTGAGATCACATGCTTGTCATGGTGTTCAACTTCCTCTGAAGGCAACCTGCGAATTGTAGTTGGAACTAGAGACAAAATGGTTCAGGTTCTGACGCTCAACACAAGCTCACAGCTCCAGCCTGTCTTCACAGTGCGACTTGAAAATACGGTGCCCAAGTCAATAGCATTCGCAGACAACCAGAGCATCTATGTGTTCGGGCTCTATGATGGCAACTTGTCAGCCCTTCCACTGCATACTTTCATTGCCTGATGCTGAGAGCTGAACAGCATGAAACTGAAGGATGAAGATGGCAACATAGTGCAAGAAATTAGCTGCAAATCAGTGATGTGAGGAACTACTGCTCTCAACCTGGGTGTGTTACTGACATATTATATAGTGGTCATGCTGTGGTGTACTCAAAGTGGGGCATTTTCATTGTAGATAATGCAACAGATGGCTTTACATTATATCGCCTTGAAGGTGATAGTGAGCCTCTTTGAATGTTTGCAACTGGTTTGCCAAGTGTATTGGCCCTGAAGCAAGTGGCATTCAGGGAAGAAGGCAAGGTAGTTGTGGGAGGAAGTGACCATGGGCTAGTATACATATTTGATCGGAAGACAGGGGAGACACTTGAAACCCTCCACCATGTGGACACTGGCCTTGTGCAAACAATATCCGTAAGTATTAAAACTAGTCAGAAAGAACGTCACTGAACTGGTTTAGGCACACAATCTCAATGGCTGCTGCACAATTGCCAGCACTTCGCCCATGCTAGGGCGCAGGAAAACTACAATCAAGATATGGGCGTATGACTATGCCATGCCAAAGGTATCCAAGGCGCCCTCAGGCAATTACTGGTCCCTGTTACACATACCGGTGATGTTGACATAACTACTGGCACTGCTATCTATGAGCATCTTCCTGCTGATAAATTATAGAGACAGCTTTTTGGTAAGTGGGCCAGTTGGTCAGCAGGGATCTAACTAATGCACCTTCAGGATAGCACACCGAACCGTGTACATGGGTACATGACTTCAGCAACAATGATTAATGTGGCCAATGACTTTTCACAGTGTGTCCAAGCTGCCATGATATTTGACGAGTATGTAGATATCCAGAAGGACAAGGAAGGGCCGACCAAAGGATATGTCAAAAATGACATCATGATGCTCCGGGAATTAGCAGCAAAGATCCTGGAGCTAGCTCAAGAAGCAGATGGAGAGATCGACAAAGATGACCATAGGGGCAAGCGTGATACTGATTACCTGCAAGCAGCGAAAGGAGATGAAGAGGTGAAGGACCTATTTCCCATTGACCTATCTCCTGTCCAGTACATGTAGCAGCACATTGAACATGGACATAAGTTTTGCATTATGCCCTCCACTGCATTGGTAGATGGACTGAGTCAATTACCCCTCCACTGTATGTACATGGAGGGAATGACAGATCTTAATGGCTGGATCATTTAATGGTTGGTCAATGGGGTTGGATTTTAACAAACAACTTGGTTACCTGATGTAGAAGACAGGGCCAACGTGATCTAAGGGGTTGCAATAAGCGAGAATGAGTTAGCCATTGCCCACTCCACTGTATGTATGGTGGAGGGGATGACACATGTTGATGGCTGGCTGGATCGTTGTGAGAGTGAGTTAGCCATTGCCCACTCCACTGTATGTATGGTGGAGGGGATGATGTGTGTTGACAGCCGGACATGTTGGTTGATTAATGGTTGGATCTGTCAACAAATGGGCTTACCTGACTAATGGGCCAGTGTGATCTAAAGGATCACAGTAAGTGAAGGTGGATGACCTGGAGTTGATGGCTTGATCATTCCACAAAAAAGGATGGAGTTGGTGAGGTGGTGGTAATGGAATAGGAGACACGACAGTACATATTGTTGTGCTCTGAAGATAGGAATGATGAACGATGAACTCGATGAGCACAACAGTACATACTGTCATGCTTCGAGGATGGGGATGATGAAGTAGCTCGAGAGAGTCGACAGTACAAAGTTCAAACTGTACTGTTGAGGAGTCAATGTTATGTAACAATTCCCTAATATGGGTGTTTGTGATTGTTGGGTGCTTTCGTCGCCAAAGTTCTAAGTCCTATGGAACTTAGTAACTATTACTCTAGGAGGTTGATGGTTTGTACTGTTGAGCCTCCCATTCTCCTTGTCGACAATGACCCTTCCTCACCTTCTTCCAGGGCATGACTGTATGTATGGTTGTGCCTGTGTTCTCTACTTTTCATCGCCACCACCAATGTCCTATTATTAATAATAACTCTAAGTCAACATCCATCACTTCCTGGTTCGACATCCATGGCAGCCCTTCGCAATATTGATCATGGGTTTGACACCCCTATCACAGAAAACAACTTGGGCAGAAGCTGCAGATCTATGAAGTGAGTTGTCATGACATTATTCTCCTCTTATTGATCATAGGTTTAACATCTTTTCCCTGGTCTTCCATGGGTTTGACATCCTTCCTCATTGTGCTGCCCGGTGTTCTCTGCCTCCATCACCATCATCAACGTACCATCCATCACTCCCTAATATTAGCTGGTTGGAGACCAACTCCACTTCTCTTCAAGTTCTTACCACATCTCAAGCCACATAGTCCAAATTCTGTTGTTAATTTTAATTTTAATTTTCTCCACTCATCCCAAGTCACAGTCCTGGCATTGTTCTGTT